ACTAATCACCGATAAAAATTCTGCCAATGCAAAAACATGACAAAGTTATAAAATAAGGCCTATTAATGAGAACGCCATGGTAGTACTGTCAATGGATTCTTTTTATCTCTCTATAAACGTCCGGTGATACTGCAAAATATCTTGGCGACCCTAATTTAGGTCGCGATCTATTAAAATACCAAGGTTTTAAAGGACCATGACAATTAGACAATAAGTCCAACAACAGAAAATTTCGTAGGCTTCAATTCTCTTTATGACGTTTAGGGAGCAGGAGTTCTAGTCGTGAAAATAAAAAAATCCCTATTGTAACAGGACTTAAACCCAAGACCTAGGAATAGAAGGCAAACACGTAACCACCAACTTATGCAACTTTTATTAAAGCCGTAATATATATTTACAGTCAAGTAAATGTATGAAAAAAAAAAACGTGTTCATAAAGTGATTACTCTTGGATACAAAATACCCCGAACAATTTGAACAAATTTTTAACTATCGAAACAATATGTGCCCGTTAATTGCTTAAATATGTTTTAAAATTACAGTTTCCTCATTCAGGTATTTACATATATGCCTACAACCTGACTGAAAAACCTTTGGAAGATATTTGAATTGATTCAAAGAATACGAGGCCATTCAAGTGGCTTGTTTTTGCAGAGAATGGAGATTACCCGCTACCCGTATTATACTGTTCTTCATTTGGCCTTCATTTAATTTGATTCTTATATTTCAATTGCAACCCATTACCTTTCTATTATTCAATTTGACTCACCACTCGTTGAGTGTCGATGACTAAATGGTGAATGTCAATAAAGACAACCACAAAATCATCCTATTTGCAGTAAAGCAGATCTGAAATGTATATTCCTGGTGTATGCTAAAAATACTGATCCCATAACTCACAATTTATTTATTTCCACAAGTAAACAAAAATAAAAAGTGAAATATTAACCACAAAGTGAATATCGGAAGATGAATAGACTACGTAACTTACATTTACCCTAAAAATTGATAGTATGGGGTTCACTGCACTCAATTTTATTTTTTGGCGAAGGTCGCTAAGAGGCCGGGCTATGCCTTTCAAATACCGGTAACAGATTTTTCAGTTTTTATGTTTTTTTTTAACATAGTCCTATAACAATTTTCCATTTCCTTTCTTTTTCCTATTTACAATTTTTTGCTAGTTTTTACTGCTAAATCTGTTGTCAGGTTTTCTGCTAGTCTATATAAATCTTGCTAATGGACATGACTTATGTTACAGCTACGTTTTTTGTGTGCCAATCTGTGACTGTTTTGTTGGGAGAAGCTTTTTAATATAAATAATATAAGTATATTAATCCAAAAATAATGTGAACTTAATAATATTATACGCTTCAACGCAGCAGTGGTGGGATGTGACATAATGACGCGTTTGATGTTTTAACATCCAACTTAAAAGTCATTATCTTTGAAATTAACAATTTTCGATCCCATGTTAAATTTGATTTTTTTTTCCTGCCTTATTTTTATTTTTATCATTTTGAAATAATCAGGGGATCCGGGCCGGCCACCCCCCGCCCTTCAAACCACCACTGATCTGGTTAATGAGCTTCATTAACACATTCAATTTTATTTTGCTCCACATAGTAATACCCACCGGCAATGCTTCCGTGAGAATTGATAACACAACAGTGAAAACATGCAAAATTATGAATTTTCGGAGATGGGTCGATTTCCGGGAGATTCTTGCTTGCTTGCGGGAGTGCGGGAGGCCGTCCTGATTTCCCGGAGACTCCCGTGATTTCCGGGAAACTTGGGACCGCTGCTACTGGTCTTACTGTACTTCTAACTGGAATGTGTATGTGTTAGATCATAAAGGTATTATAGTAAAGTTTAGTATAGTATATCTATGGTTAGATTTACATCCTGAGTAATGCTGACTAGTAATTCGAGATAAGTAACCAAAACGTTGGATATGGTGGTTTTTGGAATTGTAAGTATTTAAGTGCCATTAATTGATGTGTGTTTTTTTTAATATCTCATCTTGTCAAAATAAAAGGAATTTAAAGTTAATTTAATTTCCATTTTCGGGCATCCAGAGACGCCATGGAAAAAGAGGGTTAAAATTTAGGTTAAGGCCATAACGTCTAGGCCTATATAATTCAATAATCTCATTTTCCAGTGGCTGGTCCAAGACTCTTACTTCCTGCTTTCCTCCCCCACCCCCTCCCAACCACCACCACCCTACAATTAAAGAAAAAGGGAAATTCCAATTCAATCCGACGGTGCTATTTCCCGCCATTATGAGTGCCAAATCATAATTAAATTACTTACCTCAGTCCCAACCATGGTGTTGCTGAGCTGGACGAACTCTTTGTGAAAATCCCTCTTTGGGTCCCCTATTACGAATTCCTGTATCCACCAGTGTTTCTTTTCAAAAGGACGATCATTGTAAACAAAAATCGCTGTCACACTAATGTCAAGTAGTCAATTTTTAAAACATAAAGCATCATTTTGGATGGTGGATGTGCAATTTCCTATGATATTTAATATTACATAAATCGCGGCTTGTCTGGAAAATCATAAATTGGATCCCAGAGAAAAAAGTTTTTGGGAAGTGGGGCTCTAGATGGCCACAAATGACCCTCTTAACATCATCATCACATCACCATAATAGTCAAAATGAAGCGCCAACACATTTCTCATGATCTTTTATCAAGAATTTTCGGCAGTCATAGAGATCTACATAATATGTGTGATGTACCATAGAAAATGAAACTTTAAAACATTTAAATGGAGATATAAAGAAAATTATATTCAAATTTGACTGACGCAATCGAGATGTCACTCACACCACTCTAAAAAAAAACCAAACCTCACTAATACTGTTATGTTACATTGCCAGCCAAATAAGTAGGCCTATGTGTAGCTCTAAGCCCATTGTATTTTTTTCCGACGGCTAGAGATGTACAACCTGTACATCTCTAGCCGTCGGAAGTAGTCTTCAAGTGTGCGGGATTATTCTGGGGGGGGGGGGTGGAGGGGTGAAGGATGGGGCTTAAGAAATTCGGCTCTGTTACTATAGACCAGGTATTGTTATCCACCACCAGGGATGGATACAGCCTACAGGAAATAGCACCTGGCAACCTGCAGAGCCGCTACCCCTATTTTATCAATTTGCAGGGCAGTATAGGAGTTAACGTTATTAATGGGGACTAAAGTACATACCCAACTCGGCCCCAAACCAGTGGATAATGTGTGCATTGTTATTCTAAATGTTTTTAACGACGAATAAACAATATAATATTAGTGGCGGATCCAAGTGATTGAAATAAAAGGGCCAGGGAGGAACTGTCACATTTGCAGAGTCTATAAGAAAAAAAGTTACAAATAGGCCCTATGGCACCTTTAGATGGCCGGAAATGGCACTTTACAAAATTTCTTTTTTTATCATTTAAAAAATCATTTGAAAAATTTAGTGGGCCCCTTGCCGGCAGGCCCTCCCGTCTTTACTCCGCCACTGGATATAATATGATCATGGAGGAATTAGTTTATCCTCCATATGATATATGCCCTACAGCCGATTTCAGGGACACATTATGCTGTTGCCCTGATGAGGCTAAGGTAAGAAAATGTATTATTATATGGCGCGTCTACATGGCCCGAAATGGCACTCACAAACCTAAATTTATGAATGTAATTTTTTTTTTATCTCCATTTTTTTGACAAATTTGTGGTCACGGACCGACAGTTCCCCCTCCTTTTAATCGCCACTGGATGTAATATGATATATACCCTACAGTCGATTTCAGAGACACATTATGGCGTTGTGTGTCAACAAAGTCCTTTTTGGTCATTGTGCTAGATCGAGGAACCTATTGGTAGGCCCCTTTGGGCCCTAAGTCGGGGGCATAAGAGCGCATCGGGGTTACGCCACTGCCCAAACCGTTGGGACTAAGGCGAGCACGTTTTTGTTTGATATTTTAAAGTTGGTTCAACTATATTGTGCACCTTTTTTGAATCACACCAGGTCATCATACTTCATGAATAGACCTACTAATTACTTCACTGCAATCAGGTCATTGATTGTTCTATTATTGTTAATATCATACCAATATATGTATCAGCGACTCATGAAGACCTTAAATGATAAAATATATATGACTTTACACTGTAAATATAATTTTAATATGTTTTCGAATATTTTATGGATGCAGTATTCATGCTCGTTACGATTCTGTATCTGTTTTAAACAATTTCAGGATGTATGAGTATTATGAGTTTCGTCTAAATAGACCCCACCACGGCTCTGTCTCTGGGTCCGATCAGGTTATCTTTTAGGGCCCGGCAATTATCTTGCACTGCTGGGGCCTGTCACTACCTCGCTACGCCTCTGAGAGAATTATGATAACGATGACAGTGATAATGGCCATGATAGTGATAATGGTGATGATGATGAAGATGATGATGATGATGGTGTCAAGTACGATAACGAAGACGCTAATGATGATGAAATTGATGTTGACATAGATGATGTCATGGTCTGAGTTATGGAGATGCTAATGCAGGCTGAAGGTGAAGTGAGTGTCAAGCTGAAAATAAATCGAAAGAGCACTCGGTCAGGGTGCGGGAACAAAAGTCCCGGGTAAATAAATAAACATGTATTAAAAAGTAAAATGCATACTGTAATTGAAATTGAATATGAGCAGATGTAAAGGGGGTGGGGGAAGACTGGGGAAAATGGCACAGGGGTAAAATGTCCAGGGGATGTCCGGGGAGGGGGAAGTCATTTTTGGAGGAAATCAGCCTACTTTCATATTCTACTACCAGCACACACATTACATTACAATAATTATTAATGTTCTCCTCAGCCCCAACCATGATTGGGGCTAAGGTGGCCATGACTGTGAAAGTCCTGCCTGGCTGGTCCCTTTCGAACTCATGGACCTGTCTCTTCAGATCTTCGGATCAGACACCATTATAGAAACATATGTCATTCCACAAATTGAAAACCTCAAATAAAGTTCCATTGAAAGCAAGGTTTTTTATTCAAATATTATTTAATAGATTATTAGAAACTTATTCAATGTTTTAATTTATGAATAAAATGATATTGATATTGAATTTTTATTGACGTAGTTGTTAAATTAGTTCATATTATTGTTGGATTACTATACTTATTTTAAAAACTTTACCAACTAAACACACTCAGTCAAATAGCTGTAACGTAATATGATAATAACGTAATAACATAATGGCAAAGCTACTGTAGGACTATATAAAAGAAAAAACAGAAAACTGGATAACACTCATGAACGTTAATGAGTATTTAAATGCTCATTACAAATACGTGAAGAAAGTTTTACTTTGAGCATATGTACCGTACATCACAATACTTGCGATTTTTTGTCGGAGTGGTTATAAGTACTCGAAGAAGTTCTAAATAAATGATATTGGGCCTATTAAATATTTTATCTCTGGAATCTCCTATAAAATTATTTTTTAATAGCATGGACGACAATAACTTCCATGTTGATGTGTCTGTGTCCTCGATGATTAACGGGAAAGTTTTGGTGACACCAATCTGTCGCATCTTGAAGAAACTCAGTGTGGTATTGTTGTGGCAAGTATCGCAGGTGTCCAAGAAGTGTACGCAGGTATTCTAAAAAAATATGCAACAAGATTAATTCATCATTACCAGCATTATTACTGCTTGTTAATACTTCATTAAGTCGGATCGTACGACAGACCGACCAACGAATCCAGGACCTTTCCGCTCTCTGTGATCGTTTGACGACGCACAACGCCAGGCAGTGGACCAGAATAAAATCAAAGTGCGCCAAAAGTCGAAAATGGGTGATGTGTTCAAACTTGTCTAAGTTGTTTGAGGAAGAAAACATTCTATATTATATTAATCACAAATAATTTCATATATTTGGTGAATTGTTATGGTGTCATATAACCATAATCATAACAAAGTATACATTTTCTGCTTGAAATAATCAAAGCGACAATTTTGAAAAACACTCTGTGATTTTATTTTGACAAAAGGAGTGAACTTGATACTTCATGCAGTACTATTATTGACCAATTTAGATTAAAATTTAAAATGCCACTACTGGTACGTTTTGGGAATGAAGGACACTAAATTTGAGCCCACCACAAAAGCGCCGTATTCATTAAAATATATTTAAGGTATAAGGTAACTTTTATGATAGACTGTGATAGACTATATGAGGGCCAGTGGCGTATATAGGAGTCTTAAAATAGGAGGGGAACGGGTGCGAAGGTGGAGTATGTTGGTGGTGGGGGTCGACGACTTAGTGAGGGGCGCTAAGTCGCAAAATAAGGTGATACGAGGTGATTTTAACTTCTTGAGCGTGATTGTTTTGCATCAGACATTTTCAAAAAGGGCGTGGAGTGGGGGGGGGGGTTCTTTTTGATACGAAAGTAGATGAACCTAAACAAGGTTCAGGAAATTTAAATCATGGTAACACAGCTCGCAGATTTGCGAGTTGTAAACCTAGCAGGGGTGAAGGATTCTTGTCAATAAGGTATGGAAAATGAATCTACCCAGGTAATACAATAAATATTTGCGTCGTCCAATAAAACAGTAATTTAATGGCGTTATACATTGAAAGATACTTTCCTTGAAATCTGCGCATCTGAAAACCCCTTATATGTTTCAATAACCAATGTAATATGAGTGGGCCTAATTAAATTAAGTAGTCAAAAAAGATATAACATGAATAGGGCCTATACCTACTAAACAGTTTATCAACAGTTAACGTACCGTTCAATTCTTCTTTACTGAAGATGTCGATATTTTCACATGGCTTATATGACTTTCCTTCGAGTACTTCTAAACCAACAGATTCAAATAGTTTCAGGGTATCATCAAGATTCAAATGATTGTACATTTTATGAACGTAACCCTACAAAGTAGAAAAGGTGATGGAGAAATACATTATCTTTAAAATATAGTAACCGGTCAGTGGCGGATCCAGGAAGTCAACATAAAGGGGCATGGGAGGGACTTTCGCGGATGAAGAGTCTAGACCCGGCTCAGCCAAAACATGGATGGGGCTGAGATTAGAAAAGTTATGATTATGGCACCCTAATGGCCGGAAATGGCACTCACAGAACTAAATTTGATTCGAATGATTCTTTTTCCTCAATTTTTTGAATTTTGAAAGTGTGTGTGGGTGGGGGAGGTGGGGGGGGGGTGTTGGCTCAGCAGACCCGCCTTTGAATCCACCACTGCAGGCTTAAGAGGAGTAAGTTTGTTTAAACTTTAGATGCATAATGGCAAATTTACAAACCTCAAGATGTTTTTTCCATTTAGCATGGTTCTTTAAATAATAGGGAAGTTCATCAGGACCATTGCCTAGCATTTGATGTATCGGTCCGTTGAGCAAGATGAAACACTCCCCGCCAAGTTTTAGACAATCGTAGATGTTACGAATTGCCCCAACTTTATCCTGTACCCAGTGCAAAGCATGTACTGAAACAACTTTGTCAAATGTAACTTTCCACGTAGGAAAGTGTTCAATGAAATTTTCAGCGTCTGCAACTTCATACATTATGTTCGCGCGTTGATGTGTTTGTCTGGCAACGTCGATCATATCATTTGAAATATCAATACCTTAACGGAAAGAGAAAATGAGAATAATTAAAAATTATTATTATTATTATTAGTAACATCCTGTCTCTTATACACATCTAGATGTGTATAAGAGACAGAATCAATTGCTTGTTTTAACAGAAATTAAATATTGAAATACTCACCGATGACAGAATAGGCACGTTTTCCTATTTCATAAACTAAATCTCCAGTGCCGCAGCCGATATCAAGGACCTTATCGTCTGCATTTATACCAAAATCTGGCATATAATAATCAATCGAGGCTTGCTGGATGCCTCTTCTTTCAGAATAGAGACGCGCCTCACTTGAATTCATGATATTCAATACTTCGATAGGCAATTATCAAACTGGATATGTTTGTTGCGATGTCAGTTTACAAAGTTGGAAGATTTTATTCTACATCCGCCTGATATATTCTCTTAAACGTTCTGATTGTTCGAAATATTTGCATTACAAAAAACAACCTTTTGGTGTCTGACTTTTCATAAGTTCGTTCTGTAGAGGGCGCAAATGCTGTTACTGTTATTGTTGCACGTTGAACAAGACTTGCTTATTTCTCATTCTGGACAGCGCCACCAACGAGAAAGTAAAAAAAATAGATCAAAAAAGAAAAAAGGATTCGAGTATAGGGCGCCAATTAAATTATGAATGGCGCGCACTAAGTGCAATAAAGAGTGAGTAACCCAAAATTAGGGCCGGGAACCCAGGCTAATTAACAATAAAACCCACTCAAAATAGTTCCGATCATTTTTAGCTAAAACTGATAGAAAAAAATGAATACAAAGGTGGTTAGTTTAACGATCTTAAAATATGCAGGAGATCAATGAAAATACGCATTCTATTTTCGTTGTTTTTCAATGATCTCCACCATTGTTGAAAACTATAAGATTAATTATAGTTCAATAAGTTTATCTCATGAACAATAACCACTGTAAAGTGCTGTACTTCTGTGGATTGACCTAAAACTAAATGCAACAGAAATAATTTTCTAGGAATCTGTGCTACAAATTCACACATAATAATTTTATATTCAAAATCCCTAAAATATCTTATCATGGGATCGAAAATTGTTAATTTCAAAGATAATGACTTAACATCCAACGCGTCATTATTTCACATCGCACCACTGCTGCGTTGAAGCAGCGTGTAATATTACTAAGTTCACATTATTTTTGGATTAATATACTTATATTATTTATTTATATTAAAAAGCTCCTACCAACAAAACAGTCACAGATTGGCACACAAAAACGTAGCTTTAACATAATTCATGTCCATTAGCAAGGTTTATTCATCTTCCGATATTCACTTTGTGTTATTTCACTTTTTTTTTATCTTTGTTTACTTGTGGAAATACTGTAATGATATGTGAGTTATAGGGATCTTTTTAGCATACACTAGGAATATACATTTCAGATCTGCTTTAGCATGCAAATAGGATGATTTTGTGGTTGTCCCACTACAATACAAAACAATACTTCATTGACATTCACCATTTACGTACATCTTTGGTACGGTACTCAACGGGCGGTGAGTCAAATTTAATAATAGAAAGGTAATGGGTTGCAATTGAAATATAATAATCAAATTATATGAACGCCAAATGAAGTACAGTAATAATACGGGTACCGGCAATTCTCCATACTCCGCGAGCCACTAGAATGGCCTCGTATCCTTTGAATCAATTCAAATCTATTTCCAAAGGTTTTTCAGTCAGGTATTGTAGGGCATATATGTATTATACCTGGCTGACGAAACTGTATTTTAAAAACATATTTAAGCAATTTAATGGCATATTGTTTCAATAGTTAAACATTTGTTCAACTTGCGGGGTATTTTGTATCAGGGTAATCACTTTATGAACACGTACATTTGCCTGGCTCTCTCACTCTCATATATATGTTCAATTAACTTTCCATTTTATGTTCATTGTTAGAAACAATGAAAATGAAACAATCACTTTTCTTTGATAGTTATAAATGTTTTTGTAGTAAAATTGTTAAGATTCTATAAAGATTATATTATTCTCATTTATATCTTAGCTTTTTAGATCCATTCTCAATAGGTGGCGGGTTTCCCGTTGTTGAATGTGATTGAAAATAAATAAATAGATAGATAGATAGTAGTTGCATACGTAGATCTAGAATTGTTTTTTTCTTTTTGTTTTTTGCCCCTTACCCCCTCAGATCTGCCAATGAGACAGACAGACAGATAAATGCATAAATAAATAAAAATTTGTACATACAATAAACATGATCTTTTGAATTGAATTGTCGCTTTTTCAAAAGTATCATGCTGTAGAGGGCGCAATCTTACGATACAAAACAAAACGTGCGTAAATTAGGCTTACGTTTAATGTTGTTAAAACATGTTATTTCTAAATGGAAATCTTATCGTTATAGATTTCTACCATGGTTAACTTTTAACCTGCGGCAGAGGTATAGTTTCCAAACATTAATTTATTCATGAGTAGACGTGTTTGAGCTCCAGTGCTCCAGTAGAAAAGATAGGTAGGCCTAGGCTAGGCCTAGCCTAGATGTGTAGCAGCAGAGCCTGTCTAGGCGAAGCAAGCGGCGGTTTGGCTTGGTATGGTGTAGGGACTAGCCTACAGTAGGAGGCCTAGGCTATACTGACTATAGACCATTTTCTAGGGTGTACTGTATTTTGAAACAACATCACTAACGTCTGAAGACTCGTAACTTTTCACTGAGGGACATCAGAGCTACGATATAGGCCCTCAAAGATCTTATAAACACAAGATAGCGTTCTCCGCGATATCCGTGTGCAAATTCTGTAATAACGCAGTGTACGGCACCCTCTTGCAAAAATAAATACTTTTAAACTTTGACTGCTTCGTATACCGTGCAAATTTACCTTTACGCGTAAAAATTATAAGTGTCAATTTACAATCAAGGAACAATAACGTACTTGGTAACGAACTTTGGTGTAACGCGAACACCTTATCTCAGATCTATGGCAACAACTAGGACGCCGGCCTCTCCCAAAAATGATTAATTTCTGCTGCTAAATTGACACTTCTATTTGTTACGCGTAAATCTTGTGTTTATAAGATTTTTGCTAGCTAAAATTAAAACTAAAAAAAACCAGACTGTTTAGAGACCTATTAGGCCCCTAGTAAGGCCGCGGCTTAGGGGAATATATTCTCCGCGCAAATAATAATATAATACTCTATCCAAACTGTAAAGTAAGGCCTGTGTGGGGAATATATCCTGCTCGCAAAAAATTGACCTAGAAATTGTAAATAATATTAATCTGTTGTAGCAGTCATCAGTTGCTATAGTGATATGATCAGGACATCTGTGCACGTCTATACATTTACCTGTGGGTATGAGGATTGTTGCTGCAGTATGGGAAAACTCTGTAGCAGTTGAAATGGTATTCTACAATGAATAATTTATTTGATTGTGTTTGAAGAACTTGTCATGAGTTCAGGCCTACTATTCTGATAGACATTCCTCAAAGAAATACAAATTTCTTCGGGCTTTTGAGAGAGTTGTTTATAGCCTAGGGTCCTACTTTGTTGAGTACTACGGGGACCATCAGGAAACAGTCCAGTGAGGTAAAACGCTGAAATCTTACCACACACAGGCAGGAGGTATTAAATTACAGTGAAGTTAGCCTAGTTGGGTGTATTTGCATCCTTGTAGTTAAATTAAGAACTGTAATAAATACTGTAAGCATAAAAATTACATTTCAGAAGTTGTCAAAAATTAGGATGGTTCGTCACTAATTTCCGACTCGAATGATCCATGATGGGTGATCACCACGTTACCACTCTTTTAACTAAAATTATAAAATTGATTGTTTAGTTGTCCAACAGATTGTCATGGACATGTTTTGAGACCATCATTATAGATGAAAATTTTTGTTTGTGAGTTTCCATGATTGAAGAATGTCTTCAGTAGTCCTATATGGCTTTATAGTTCGTAATTCTAAATATATACAGCAAGTTTACCATTTTTAGTTTATAATTAACAGAACAGCAAGAGATGTGACTAGCCTGTCAGATAAGATTCTACCGGATGATGAGGTTCTTGACAAACTTACTCACTTCTTTGAAGAATTAGAAAGACGTAAGTATGCTTTTATCAACAAAAAATGAGTTCATATTTAAGCAGGCATGTGTTTTCAATCTGGCAGTTCAGTTATAATTTATTTGGAACAATATACCAAATCAGAATTTAAATTTTAATTGCCATTTTTTTTAGGGAACTCACTCTCATTAAAGTTTGGGAAAACCCTCACTTTCAGAATTAAATAAAATTTGCTTATTTAGCATTGTGCTGTTGACCCCTGAGTTTTTG